TGCAAATTGTGATTACAACATTTGCTTCTTTATTAAGTGTGAGGATTTCATGCAATATGAAACTGAATTGGACACAGAAAAATCAACATTGAAATGCAGAGATTTATTTCAGGGGAATGGATGTTAGGTGTATTTCTCATCTGTGACAAATGCATTTCCATGAACACAAAACAAGATACTTAAAACCTGTTTTGGATTTCTGTGCAGTGGTTTGCTTTATGGTTAACGTGACATTTAAACAGCCACAACTTGCCAGTTGAATGTTTGGTGGGGATGGTGGACACTATTGTGAGACATATCCACACCCTTTTGTGACACTGACAAACTCTCAAATTATGCTGACCCTCATTTTGGTTTCAATTCAGTTTTAATTTGCCAGAAAGACTCACTACCTTGATCTCTTCTAATTCATAATTCATGTCTGTCATTACGCATTTAGAAAACAAGAACAAGTTAACTGGACAAATCAAAATTCTCTTATAAATAATGTAATGAAAGGGTGTATAACATTTAAAAGATATTTTTAGAGGGTTTTCCAAACAAAGAGGAAGGCATCCGTAGGCCTATTCAGTAATGGGAAAATATTAACCAATGCCAACTAATAGTTTTTTAATAAGTGTTTCATGAAAAGTTAAGTGTTGAAAAGTTTCAAAGTTTTGAGAAGTTTTGTACTATTTTATATCAAATACGTCAAGTGAAACTGATAATTTTAACTGTTAATTTAACTGGGAGTGTTAAGGGAATGTACACGGGCAAGCAAAACTACAAACAAAACTACAGTCATTTCACGTAGTAACTCATTGAATTGTTGGAAATTTACATTCAAAATTTGATCCTGTAAAATAATAGCACCAGAAAAATATAGTATTTCTTGTCAGTTTCCAACACTGGTTGGCCGACTTTTGTTTGAAAAACCTGATTGTTTCAACTTTCACCTCTCAGTCACCCAATTTATTCAGTCAAATTTGCTTGTGTTTTAACCCATTTGTGACCGAATGCAATCCAGCTAAAAGTGTTTCCCTACAGCCTTACATTTGATTCATGTCTACTGGGATTGAAACACTACAGGAAAATAATCCATTATCTTGGATTCTTCAGGCATTTTGGAGCATTTTGTACCAAGGTGTTTTTTTAGTCTGTAATTGAGATACAAAAAGGTAGTTATATTAATTGATCATGTTCTGTACCATTTCAAATACCATATTTTATCCAGATCTTTTATAGCTACTACATGCATAAGCAAGAAATAAATCATGTGATTGAATGCATATTAGAAATGTTCCTAACACTACTTTTAATGTACTCACATTCTATGCTTGCAACTGCCATCCAGTGATAATAATCATGTCAACGCATAAAATGTATAATCTTTATGTGAATAGAAGCCAAGAATTACTTTATGTGGTCTGTGCGCATCGCATACATGCGTGCATGTCAAACGTTGCGGTGTTACGTGCTAGTCTGCTGGTGCTTAACCTTTTCCTAAGAATGTCACCTCTGTCACTTGTTCGTTGCTTGATGTACATGAAGTAATGGAAATGCCATGTCATCTCAGGTGCATGTATGTGAATGCATCAATGCTTGAAATACAGGAGGTAATGGACGTGCCTCAGGTAAATGCTGTGCTGTAAGTAGTGCGTTAACTAGCACCTGAGGCACAAAGTGTCTCAGGTGCAATTAGTGCTAGTAAGTGCTAGTTGAGAAACTGG